CAATATCTCACCAGCTCACCATGATGAAGCAGAAGGAAGCTACTTTGCAGAAGTTTGAAGAAGGACCTCTTGACTTCCAGCCCACCTATAAATTCGATTTGAACTCCGATAACTATGACACAAGGTAAATGACACAACTTATTACAGTACATCCTGCTGTATTTTGTAGTCATTGGTTTTAAAGTCAATAAGAATTTTTTTTTTGCACAATCACTTATTGTGAACGATTTAATTGTGGCACATTATTCCAGAAAAATCTTTAATTAAAATGTAATGCCTTTGAAATTCTATTAATTTTACCTTATTTTTAATAAGAAAAGAAAATACCACTTTTCACAACACAGCCAATTCCTGATGGATAAAATCAAGTCCTGCTCAACTTTTTGTTTCACTCATACATATATTTCTATTGTGGAATTAAAATGGATTTCATGTTGACTTTAATTGCAGTACATAGCAATAGTAATCCCCATAATATCCTGAATCTCCCGCAGCTCCTCCTTCAGGGCTGTTTTTAACTGTCAGATGTTCACAGATGCTCTTTTTCACCCCTGCAGGGTACAGAAGACATGGTTTGGTTTTAAGTAAGCTTTCAAATTCCCATGCGCTTCCTAACTTGATCCTTCCTACCCTGCTTGTCTAGCATTCCACCAGCATTCATTTCCCTGTTTGTAGCACTTCCGCCAGGCAGCGGAAAGCCTTTATCTTTGCCCTAGAGCTGACAGACCTCATTCACACTTTAATGCAGACCAGTGCATTGTGTGCCGCTATCCCGTCCTGTAACACCAATTCATCTATGAAGCACCATAAATAATCAATTAATAACATCCATATAGATCCAGTCTGTGTTTGGATGTAGTTGTTGTTGTGTGCTGCAAAGAGTTTAGATGTTTAAGTATTGATCATCTGTTGTTCAATGCTGTCTAGTTCTAGTGTTCAGATCTTTGCAATACACATGGTTATAAAGCATGTGGACAACTTGGCCTGCTTAGTGAAAATGCTGTTTGAGCTACAGGATGTATTTATGCTGTCCATAAGGAGATGCAGCATGACTGAACTCATATAAACTCCTTATATTTTTAGAGAAGTTGTTTGCACACTTTTTAAGCATAGGGACCTACAAAATATGATGCTCTTCTTGTAGGGGACCAACTTCCTAAAATGTTTAGTAATTTAGTTGACTAAAATATAAAAATATAAAGGCCACTACCTAAAGTTTATGGTCTATAATATTAGTCTGTTTGTTTTTTAAAGAATTCACTTTTACTCACCAAGGAGACATATATTTGAAGAAAAAAAAAAAAACAGTAATATGAAGAAATTATTACAGTTTAAAATGTCTGTTTTGTATTTTAAAATGTAATTTATTCCTGTGATGCAAAGCTGAATTTTCAGCAACATTACTCCAGTCTTCAGTGTCACATGATCCTTCAGAAATCATTCTAATATGCTGATTTGGTACAAAATAAATTATTTTTATTATTATTAAAGTTGTGAACAGTAATATTTAATATTTTGTGGAAACCATGATGAATTATTTCAGCATTCTTTGATGAATGCAAATGAAAAATGTGTTTCTACTGTCATCTCTGATTAATTTAATACGTTCTTTCTGATTAAAAGTATTTTTCTTTAATTACTGACCCCAACCTTTTGAAGTAGTGTGTGTGTGTATTTAATGTAATTACAAACCCAACACGAATTATAAATTATAAAATTTTAATGACTTTTTTCTTTAGATCTTTAAAATAATTTTGTTTTCTATACCTTATATTAGAATATTTGAGAAATATTTTCAGTTCAACTGAAATTTATTTGTATAACGCTTTTTGCAATAAATATTGTTTCTAAAAAAAATTCTACAGCCCCCCTAAAATCCCTTAGATTACCCTGGTTTGAAAAGCACTGTTTTAGAACAATTTGTACATGTATAGAGAGACCTATATGCCACTTGTCTGTCTTTAGTGTATTTGGTGTGAGGAGTTTGGGACATAAACATGACTTTCTTAGTTATAAAAAGCATGCCACGTGAATTCATTTTCACAAAATGAATGATGGCTGTACAGAAAGGCGTGCTAGTGTTCTTCCAGTTGAAAGCAGTACAATTCTGGAAAAGGGATTCAAACCAACTAACTTTATTGTATGTTATTAACTGATTTAAACTTGTTTTCCTCTCTGTGTGATTGGCTAGTGGAAAAAAACGCAAGCCTGCGTGGTGTGACAGGATTCTCTGGAGAGTGAAGCCCAAGTCCTCACTGTCAGAGGACGCTAATGAAGACGGTCAAAATCAAGAGGATCCAAAGAAACAACTGGGGGAGCAACATAAAGACGAGTTCCCTCTAAAACTGAGCCAGGAGTTTTACACAAGTAAACTAGAGTACGGCATCAGCGACCATAAGCCCGTCATCGGCATCTTCCGCTTGGAGGTGGGGAGGAGTTTGGCTAACATAATAGCCATAATTGTTCTATAAAATACTACAAGAATGACTATTTATTTCTCTGACACCAGTTGAGAAAGATATACGAGACACCATTGGTGCAGGTGTGCGCTGAGGGAGAATGGAGTGCCGACTTTGACGCCCTCATAACCTATAGCCTTCCCCAGTCCTTTCCCTCCAGTGCCTGGGACTGGATCGGTTTATATAAGGTAAGAGAGGTTCCCAAAATGTGGTCTGTTCTGATCAGGTCACAGACCAAAAATAATAAATATAATCGTGTATGGTTACAGTAGTGATACTAAAATACTGTATTGTGAACTAATGTTATCCAGGGTGTTGTTAATATAGACCACGCGCTTGTCACTCCACAGGTTGGTTTTAAAAGCGTTTCAGACTATATCACGTACACCTGGGTGAAGGATGACCAGGTGTCTTTCACTGATGAGCTCTTTCAAGTATGCAACATTTGCAGTCTATGTTTCTTTAAAACTGTCAAATAATTTGTTTTTGTCACATAAGCAACCAAGCAGTAAATGATATTTTCTCTGATCACAGGTTTATGTGAACAAAGATGAAATTCCTGTTCTTGGGGGCGAATGTGTGCTGTGCTATTACAGCAGCAACTTGCAGTGCATTGTGGGTATTAGTCAACCTTTTAAGGTGAGTAATATTTTACTTCTATATTTCATGCATACATCATAATACACTGTGCATATATATATAGAGAGGGAGAGAGAGAGTATATACAGTATATTATATAGTATTTTTATGTATAAATATATCACTATTATGGCTTTTGAAGGGTTTTCTGTTGTTGTTCAATTGATTTAAAGGTGCAGGAATCCAGAGCGGCGATTGAAGAGGGTTTAGTGCCTGAAAATATCAACGGACTAGATGAAACAGTATCCAGTTAAGACCAGGTTTAAAGTGCACGTTGGTTTATACGCTGTCATATGCAGCTCAGATGTCAAACCAAACATACCTGCGAATTCAAACAAGTGCAATTTTAATCCAAAATTGATTTGAGGTTTTACTGGTGTGTGATACAGTGTATACAGTGTTTTTTTTTTTTTATCCAAGAAATATTATAAGTTAAAGTCAGTATATTTTAGATCGCAGCCAGTTGATGGGACCAGTCCCAAATCGATTGTGGTATCTTAAGTAAGCACATTTAAATTTGTACTGTAATCATTGAAATCGATTCTAAAAAGTCTTTCAAAAAAGGTTGTTACAAATTAAGAAAAGCATACCCATAATGTATTTTATTTAATTCATTATTTAATGAATAAATTCACACCACAGCCTTACCATTACCACATTGTCTCAAAACATTTAGTATACATTTATCTTGTAACATTTTTTATAAACAAAATGTTTTATTAGTTTACTGTACTTCAGAATTTGAGTGTTTATGGTTACTGCTACTGTTGTCCTTGCGTTCTCATTCCGTTCAAACTTATGCAGACTGTTACACTGTCAAGAAAAGGCTGCATTTGCACAATTTAATTGAGTACTTTTATGGCACGTTTACTTTGTGGATCTATTTATGTCTATAACTCATGCTGAAGTGGTATTATAATAATATTTGTGTCTCACTGAAATTGAGTGTGAATAACTGAAGGATGTGCAGAAATGACCAAGTGTATTTTTGTGGTCAGTACAGTTTGATATAACTTTCATGTTAAGTATAAGCAGACTGTGCTTAAACATATTTGTCAAAACCAAATATGCCCTCTTTTGGCTTAAGAATGTGTTTTTGTTATAATGTTAGACTAATGCTAGTGTATAAATAGAATGTATTTGTATCAAATTATAATGTATAAAAGGAAAAAAAACTGTAAGAAACAATTCCTCTGGAAATGAAGAGCTTTTTTTATTTTTTAAACAACTACAAATGCTTACTGATGACATGAAATAAATGTTATTTAAATTAAAAATGAAAACAGTTTGTTTTAATGATTTTATTGATTATCCTCATAGCAAAGTACTAATTAACTACTAATATTAATGACAACAAGGCTGATAAATAGAGATCCTGTTTATAAATTATTACTAAATGTATGTGATTTTTAAAAAGATTTTTACTTTGTTTAAAATCTTTTTATCTGTTAATTTTTTTGAGCCTCTTTTCAATCATGAAAAATAAATGTCGTCTGCCGACCTCTAGCGTTAAAACGTTTCGTTGCCATAGCAACAATGTGTTTACTCGCCGGCAGCTTAGCAGTCGTGTTTTGAGTTGCAGTACATAGGCATTTATATCTGACAGGTAAGACGCTTTATTTACGTTTAATGTTTTAACGCTGAATGTATTGTCTAAGACAAGAGTTGATGGGCAAAACAGTAGGTTTTACAACAGTTAACTGAAATCCTGACAGTTATATCTAACGTTAAATAGTCAGTATTTTGCTCTTTTATGTATTAGAATTTAATGCCAGCTGTTTTTGGCAACAGTATGGCTTTAATTCAAGTGTTATAATAGTTTACAGTGTTGGTTAGTTATCATATAGTAATCACAAAACAATGACTTTAACCATAGAATGACTTTTTCTCATTAGAAAAAAAATGTCTTGGCTGATGGGATCCCCTGATAAGTTTCTGCCATCTGAGTGGAAACATGCAAACCAGGTGCATTTCAGGAGCTCAGAGGCAGAACGATCACTCTCACAGAGACTGACAGCGGAGTGTCAAAGACTGGTAGAGGAGAGTGACAAATCTACCAAACACATGCAACAGGATGCACAAAAGAAGCTGGGTATGCAATACAGCAAACACATGTGACAGGATGCAAAGAGGGTTAATGGCCTTGCATTAGAGGTGCAGAAAGACAGGAAGTTCAAGATGATACTTGTTCTTTCAAAGATAAGTGATAGAAATGATGAGCAGAGGAAGTTATTTCAAGTTATTTCCTTAATAAACAATTCTGGCCTACGTATTTTCCCATGAGTCTTGCATCTCCTCTTCAGAGCAGAGAATCCAGGACATCAAATTCTGGAGGCAGGAACTGGACCAGAAGTTTGAGGAGATGGTGCAGGAGATTGAGACTCTCCTCATTTTTAAGAGCCGTGTGGAAAGAGCCTTAGAAAGCTGCTCTGAGCCTTTCCAAGTGACTTTGCAATGTCTGACTGTGAGGTACTTGTCACTGTAGAGCACCACCAGTAGAAGACGATCCTAAAATCAAGAGTTTTTTACTTGACCTACACAACCAAATTGATCAAAAGTAACAGCAAAGACTTTTACATTTCAAATAAATGCCATCCTTTTGAACTTTGTCTGTGTCACAGACAGAAGCGGGTGGCGATTGATCTTGTGCATGATGAGGTGGAAGAGGAGCTGTTGAAGGAGAAGGAGGTGATTGAAGGAGTGATGGTCCTGCTTCAGCGAACACTGGAGCAGATCAATGAGCAGATCAGGTCGGTGGGACAGTGGCAAGACTCATTTGGGAATCAAGAGACTAACTTGATTAGGGGGTCAAATCATAAAGGATCAAATTGTTCTTGATGTTTCATGTGGAAGCATCTGTCAAAGCTGTAATAAATAAATACATATTAATTAAATAAATGATTAAATTATGATGATAATAAAAACTCAATAATAAACAATTATTTAATAAAACAATAAAATAAAATAATAATGACTTTGATAAGAAACTGAAAAGTGTTTAAAATATGGCACTAAACCCTTGCATTACTGGTATATTGTGTTGTTTAATAAAAATGCTAGTTGTATACACATTAATTTGATTAAAAAGGCATTTTACTTTGCACATATTTCATGTGTTTTTCAGGCTCATTCGTTCAGTGAAATATTATCTGGAAAAAGACCTGCAGGACAAATTTCAGGCTGAGCGCATTGATGATTTCTGTGCCCTTCTCACTAATGCGTCGCCTGGTTTAAACAGAGGGAATTCAGATTTTAGCAGTGTTGGGTAAGAAAAGTGTCTATGATACTATTTAGATGTTAAGAGAAGGTTTTCCATCTTTTTCTTCTGTAT